TCAAGGACTTCGAAGTAAATATTGAAAATTATTATTTACTGATTGTAGATTGTAAAGTCGAAGTGAAAAAAGGATTTTACCTTTGACATTTCATAAATAAGCAAACTGAATTAAGTTATATTTTAAAAATTTGATATATAACACAAAAGGCGATCACTTAAAGAAGCTAAAATAAGTTAAATTATTTTAAAATACAGTGAAAACTGCTTAGGCGACCACCTGCATTCGACGGGCACCTGTCAAAACGGGCAAAAATTTCTGGCACGGAATTTTCAATTTACATAATAAGTTACCTGTATTAAACGACCACCTGTCTAAAAGACCACTTTTTGAAGGAACCGTGGGTGGTCGCCATAGACAGGTTTTACTGTATACTTTTTCATATTCATATTTTAAATTAATTAATTCTATTTTATTAGTTTATTATATAAAAATCATAACGTAATTCTGTCTACTTAAATAGAAAGATTATCTCTAACTTGAAAACTGTGTATGGCCTTTTAAATTTTTAAGTAATCGTGATCGTTAAGCATATAGATTTAATCCATTTCTAGCATGTGAAATATACAGTTATGTAAAACAAATCTGTGAATCATTTTTAAAAATGTTTAAATTTTAAAATTTAGATCAAATTTTTAATGTAAAAATACATTTTATCGTGTGATTTCTGCATATGAATTTTTAAATATAATACAAATTATTCAACATGAGTTTTTTCAAAATGTTACTAATAATTTAAATGTAATTTAAATTTACAGTTATAGACTATTAATACTTTCTTGAAAAGTCATGGATGAAATCGAACAATTTTCATGATGTCATTCTTAGTTCTTCCTTGGTGTCTTCTATTTTTGTTTACAGAAGAGACCAATAGACATTTGCTGATAGTGTTTTATTGATTCACGTAAACTGAAAAGCTGAGTAAAAACGAAAAAGTTAATTTTCTTTAAGTCTTATTCTCGGTTGAAGTCTTTTTAACTGAAAATAGAAATGAGAAATTTGGTTTATTTGTTTATTTTTTAGTTTAGCAGTATTTTCAGATAATGCGAAGCCAAACTCATAAATGGAAATCATTATCAAGCCATAAATGTGATATGTTTCTTTTATGCGCAAACGTAGCGATATTAAATCGATTCGTAGGTTTCTATAAAATGTCATTTTTTATCCAAAACTGTTCTGCAGGAAAAATAAATATAAAATCTTTGGTATATCTGGTTTATCTATTTAATAAAACAGAATTTAATTGATGTTTTTAAAATTAGTTTCTCGTTATTTTTCGATTTATTTGTGTATTTGCAGTTATAGACTAAATGTTTTACTGTTTATTTAAAAATTTAATAATTTTATCAAATATTATTTAGCAACCTTCGAATTTACAGCGTTGTGTGTAATAAATTTTCTTTTATCTTCAATTTATGATGAAATCGATTATTTTGTAATAATTTTTAAATTTTACACTTGTTAATTTTTCCTTAGAGATCGTAAAGTTTTTGAATTTTTATACCAAAGATTATCTTGGAAGTTTTATGGTTCGAATCTTTGAATTTATAAATTATTTTTACTGAAGTTCTGTGTGACATTTAACCTACATTTTACAAATCATTTATAAAGGAACTAAGACGTAGTATTTTTATTTATCAAGACTATAGGAAAAAAATCCAGTAACGAGTTCCTTAACTTTCCCGGCAACCTTTGATTGAGCCAGCTGTTATGATATTTATTTTAAAATTTTTTATATTTTTAATTATTATTAAATGGCAGAAAACTTAACTTTGTGAGTGGGGGATGGTTTTATATAAAAAACCATTCCCCACTCTCAAAGTTAAGTTTTCTGCCATTTCATAATAATTAAAAATTGTAAATGCTAATAACTAGTAAAATTGTCATTAAGTCCGACCCTAATCGAGATATGACACACGATTCCCCTTTATCTCCTCCGTCTACCTTTTAACCACCAGAATTTAATAAGATCAATCCCCTAATACACAAACCTTCCTACAAAATTTCAGAAATTTTCTACAAAAGCACAGGCTTTAAGCTTCAACAAAACTGGTGAACATGGGGTGAGGGTGAACAAATTCTTGCCCATACACACAAACATCCATCCATACATTCAGAAAAACACCCAAACTTTTTTGTTTTTCTCGACGTTTTAAGGTCTCAGTCCAAAAATATAAAAATCTTGGGTGCTATTTTTTGACCGATCGCCATATTTTTTCTCTGTTATATATAACAGAACCGGGAAAGTAATTAAATTGTATGATTATCAATTAGAGGGACGTTTTCTAATTGCGATATATTTTCATATTACAATCGTAACCTAGAATAAAGATTTGTGAATTCAAGGACAGACTACTAAAGATATAAAAGATCAAGAAAAATATAAATTCTTAATTCTGTATTTTTAGTTTCCGAGAATGAATTGTGTTTAAGTAGCATAAAATTTGAAGATTATTTAAATAGACAGAAATCATTCACTTTATCAAATTATTCAGTGGAATTACTTATCTTAATATCTGTATTATTCTACTTTTCTTTAGAAATTGTTCGCATAGATTTTATTCAGTAAAATAATAATAATTCGATTAAATCTTTAAATCTGATTTTCCATAGACTGACTTCTCATTATTTAAATATAATTTTTGAAACTGGAATTTATCATCATGTTGTACTATTAGTACAACATTGTTTTCATTATCAAAGAATGAAAAACAACAGCAATTTTTATTTGGAAGGATATAATAAATTTTGGTGGAAGGTCTTCATTTTTTATTTTTGTTTGGATTTATTTAAGTATTATAGTATGATGATTGTAAATTAAATAGTTCATTGTGTTTAAAATTATTTTTTAAATAACATTAAATTGTTTTCTCAGTTTTATAAATATTGATTTTTTTATAATCCCTTTTAAAAGTTTGTGTAAAATACACAAGCTATTATACGTTAGATGAGTAGTTCAAATTTAATGTGTTTTCTTTTGAAAAGTTTTAATTTTTAATTATATTTTAAAAAATGTATGTTAAGTTTGAAGTAAGGTTCTTTTGTAATTAAACTAGTCTTGATAATGGTCATAAATAGAATTAAGTTGCAACTAAATTGAGTTATAGCTTCTCGAAATACTATATTTACTTTTTATTTCTATTTGACGAAAAGTTGATTATTATTTTTTTACTTTCACATATTTCTTTGTTAAATTGCCACTGTGTAATAAATTCTTACATTAATTTGGTGAAAACAAACAACAATTAAATAATCTACTTTTAACGAAAATATTCTGTCATTTTATTTTAAATTTTTATTTGAGTTCTTAGTCTGAAGGACAGAACATTCATTGTTATTTTCAGTTTAGTAACACTTCAGATAATGTCAAGCGAGTGATCTGGTAATAATATACAATGAGAAACATTGAGAGCATGCCATTGACCCGTGTTGATTGCGATTAGAAAGAATTTACAATTTTAAAATACTTTGAGAATGTCAAAATATTAAAATAAATGAATTTGACATACAAAAAAAAATATTAAATATGATTTAAAAATCAGTTAAAGTAAGTATTTTCTTAACGTGGTTTTATTTCCATTCATATTGAAATTAAATCTCAGATTTTACTACTATTTAATTAATTTTATCTGCTGTAATTTTTAACAACCACGTCATTATGTTGTTATAATAAACGATTATATACTTATTTTGTCATTTTTCCTGTCTCCTGTTTACTGACTATAATAAAAAGGTCAATTATAGTTCAAGTACTGTGTGTAATTTAATTTCTCATGCTCTAAAAGTTCTCATGTTCCAGAATTTAATGCCTATTTCGGATGGTGATTAAAATGCGTTTATAAATTGAACGCACCCTGGCTGACTAGACTAAAGGTCAAAGTTCTACACAAATAAATGAGAAAGATTGCTTGGTAATATATGTTCGTGTGATGTCATCGATGACATCACTGAGAGGATATGGACTGTGACGGATATTTCAGTAACTAAACATCTGCTTAGGAAAACATCCTGCAAATGTTAACTTCACTAAGCAGATGATGCTGATTTATATGCTTAATAACAATAAATAAGTTGAAAATATAAATTGTTGATAGTTTTTGTTCTTTCAAATCATTATCATCGATAAGTAAACAACAGAAAATGATAAATATTTCACGTTAAAAAATAATTATGAAAGTTTTATAAAAGGTAACATATTCGTTTTATGCAATATTTAAACATCATTAGTTCAGTTGTTATTTTTTATATTCCTGTATCAGGGTATATGAAATAAAATATTATAGATAACGTATATAATGTTTAAAGGATGTTTTAATATTTATATATTGTCTCTCACATTTGATGATTGTATTTTCATTTCAAATATATTTTGAAAGTTTATCAAAATTACTAAACGTTGCAATTTAATGACGTACATAATCATAAATATTTTGTCTGCTTTATTAAATGCTTACTCATTTTCTCTCTACTCGCTCTTTTTAAATTACTTTCTGATTCATTGTTTAATCAAACGACAAATATTCGACGTAACTAACTAAATTTTGTTGATTTTTATTGACTCACACCTTAGTAACTACAGTATTTCATTGTAACTGCTATTCGTATATAAGCAGATCAATTGAATATTTTTACGTGAAATTTACCTAATCCTCCTTTCCTACGTTAGTCTGCTTAATCCTAACGCCTTTAAGCCTGCTTAAAGGATTAACCAGACTAAAAAAATCTTTAAAATCAACATAACGAGATGTTCGAAAAGTAACTTTATCTATCGGTTTAAACAGACGGAGAATAATTTTCTCGTTAAAAACTTAAAAGACAAAAAAAAAAGTGGCAGATGATTTCTAAATATTTGATTGTAAATATTATGTATAACTAAAAACCTATTACTGAACGTTTATCTATGCAGTAAATGCTTCGACTTATTTGGATCATTTTAAATATACGTGCGCATTCATTTGTATGTATTATAATGTACTGTACGTGTTATACACCTACACACACACACATACACACATTTGTGTTTATTTTTGATCATTATTTAAATAAATTAGTGTCAATTTTATTTATTGAATATTTTAAGTAATGCAATATCATGCCAGAAATGCGGGAGTGGCGTAATTGGAATTAGCTTGACTATAAAGATAAGAGAGTAACTTCAGAAACCAGAGTAGTAGTAACAAATTTTATATTATCTGTAATTCAAATTTCCGATTATGATATTTATTGTTAACTTTATAGCAGTTATCAAGTTACTTGATGAGGAAAAAATCAAAATGTTCGAAGTTGTATCCGTCTTTTGTTCGTTACATTTGCAACCTATTTAAAAATTTTTTTCCTGTTAAATATCGAATATCATACACATGTTTCAGTCATTTAAAAGAATATATTTAATTTGCATTCATTCTAATGTGAAGTACGTACTTCATTTTTGTCCTTCGGATTATAACTACAGCATTAAACTGCGACAGGAAATGGCCAAAGTGCTGTTCGCGTAGTTGACGGAGAGTATCACGTGATCTTCATAGAATTCTTCGAACTGTTTAGTGGGTTTCTGACCGTTACAAACTTACAACAGTGCTTACATTCCATGTACTGTAATACGTTCTTGTAATTTGAATCTTTTCAGCTCGTTTCATATAACTATTTCATTCTTTTGTTTCTAAGAGGATTTAGAAAAAAATGTTAAACGCTAATTTCAAAATCCTGCGTCGAGAGGACAGCTGATTTTTGACACCAGGGCAGATGATTTCGAAGAGAAGTGTTGTGATATCACATTATTTCTTGCGGTAATCTATATCACGTAAAACGATGATATCTACAGTAAGATTTTTTTTCTTTCATTTTGATCGTTTTAATATATAAATTAATAGATTAAACTCTTGTTCAAAATATTTTAAATATTGTTTATAATAATTCAAAGTAATTAAATAGTTTAATAATTAAAAGTAGATATATATGCATGATATATATATATATATATATAATTTTTACTATAACGAGTAAATTCATTTAAAAAATTTAGAATTTGGCCGAGGTGTTGATAAGCGTGCAGACACGTAGCAGCAGGTTATATTTAATTTTGAACGCTATTTTACAACCATTACTATTATATAGTTAATGATTAATTAATAAACTCACAAAAAACTTGAATTAAAGGCTTAAGCGTTGTTTAAATTAGTATAATTAAAAAAAACAATTCAATAAATTACGCGTTGGACTTGCAATTGTTCGTGAGTGAAGAAATGCAAGGTAGCTATAATGAAAACAGCATAAACCTATGCTGATCTAAATCGATTGTTTGGTTAAATCTCTCAGTTTTTCTGATGGAACATGATAAAATAGAGTGTCGCCATCTGTCGCTGTAAATATATTCTAAATCGATTAATTTTTCTATTTTGTGTAAGTCTTAATGTGAACTGTCTTTAAATTGTATATGCACTACATATTTATATTATTAAAACATATTTTATGATAGTTTAAGAAAAATTTTAATCGAGAACTGTAAATATGAATTTAAAAGCGTGTTTATTAATATGGGCTTTACGAATGTTCCATTATTAACTGGTTTACGATGATGAGTGTCTTGGTGTTTAGCAACAAAACATTTTCCCCCTTTTTTGATGTGTATTTATGCAATTTAATTTTTTCTAAAAATTTATTATCGAAGTTTTAGTAGTCTCGTCTTAAAGGATTCGGTACTGTTTGCGCAAAAGATCACGTGACTTACAGCATTAACGCATGATTCTCGTTATCATAGACGAATTTTTTTTATGATTTTAGAATTGTTAATTGCTTTTACATACATGACTTCATTTTCTGCATATATATTATAAAATTCTGTCATTGCTTTGATAATTTTTCGTTTGATCTTGTTTCATTTCTTAAACATACACAATAGAGATAAAACGTTTAATTAAAATAAATATTGAAATAATAGATTTGAAAGAAAGTACAGAAAATTATTTAAGTTAAATATATCAATGTTTTGCTTAGCTAAGTAAAACTCTTGAATGCCAACAAAGGACAGACTAACAAAATGTGATGTACAGTACTGTACTTATTAATTAAAGCTAATATTAATGACAGATTAATGTAGGATTTTTTGTGATTTCAGTTACAAAGCATGTTTCGTGTTAAAGAAAACTTTATGCACTGACCTCAATTGGTATGCATATTGTGACTAACTCAAACTTGGTTAGGAAACTGAAAAATAAAATTTATCACTAAACTTCTAGAAAAGTTGCAGTCTTATGGTACTGATATGTTAAACAATTATACTGTCGAATTTCAGTATTATATATTAACTATTAAGTTTGTATATTTATGGAAAATTTCATTATAAATATTTTTACTGTTTTAGAATTTCTCAAAAATATTTAATTTTTGGAAATATTTTTAATTTTATACTAGAGTAAAATGCATAGCAACTGTCATGACTCTAGTCTTTATCTTTGATAAAGAATTTCATGATGTGGAAGAAAACAACCTTTCAGATTTACTTATTCCTTATCAAAATCAGTGAAATTAATTATAAAATTGAAGCAGTTTTAATTCATTTGTTATGAAATTATATTAACATTGCTTCACAGTTTTCTGTTAGCAGGGACTCTATATAAGCAAACAATAAAGCTTACCTGTTTACAGTCCTTGTAGATTAGACTGCAAACCAGATAGATAAGCTATAACACATTTTGTTATAGAGAGCTGTTTTTGATTTTTTAATAAAATTAGTTTCTATTATTTAACAAAAGTAATCTCTCTCATCTACATTTCCTTTTATTAGATGGAAGTGAAAAATAATTTATCAAAATATTTGATATGGCTGTCACGTATTTTGACTGATTATTTTTTACTTCCATTTAATGATATAATTCTTCCTGATGATGATTTTATTCTGTTCGTGCCCCTGATTTAATTATAATTTTTATCCAATGATCATCCTGTTGAAGAACTAAAAAAATTTTTTTTTGCATGTAAAATGAATGATTAAATTATAATAAAAACAATACATTCAAATACAAATTTATGCAATTTTTTCAAATTACTAAATGCTATTTTTTGAACAAAGTTTAAAAAAGCTTTAAAAAATCAAATATTGAAAAGCACAAGATAGCTGAAATGTAAGATAGTGAAAATGTAGCGAATATATAAATTAAGTAAAAATATACTATAAATTATTGTTGCATAAACAGTCTTATATGAAGAGGTGATTTAACTGTATTTGAAATCAACATTTTCAAAGCACTCTTCCTGGTTTCATTCTTGACAGCTATGAAAACCAGCCTGACAGTTATTGAGCTGATTGAAAGTTATTCCAGAATATGTGCACTGAATTCTAATGAATTTTGATACAAATAATTCAAGACAAAACAGACATTTTTCATGGAATATACAAAGACATAAAATAGATGAATAAAATGAGTAAAATTTCAAAAATGCAAATATCAAAAATTTGTATCAAAAACTTGTTTTATAATTTTAGTAGTAGATTCTTTTTACTGATTCAAATAAATTTATATTAAGTTCAGTGGGTGATCAGTTAACGAACAGATCAGATAACGAACACCCCACAGAACAAACACAAGAAGTAGTGATGTAAAATAATGAATACCGATTGGTCTTCCCTTGTCTTCGGGCAACAATTCGAAACTTTTTGGAGTGTAGAAGACGTCGACATTGATGTTCAAGCCAGTATATACCGATCGGATAGTATTCCTCCAAACTTTGAAACTCTTCCTTGAAATTCCAGCCTTTTATTTTTCTGACAAAAACGATTCTTTTATGTATTCGCGAGACTGTCAGATAGGCACTCGTTAAGTTTTTCATCTATTTTTCTTTTTGAAAGGTGAGAGAGTAATAGCAAAGGTAGAGAGTGGGCAGAAGATGCCTAATGTTTCTGGGCAGTATGGTGTGAATAGGTCTACAGTAGGCCGCAGTTCAATCTTATTTAAGAAAAATACTGTATAATCAAGAAGACTCAAGCAGCTAAACGAGTAACAAAAATCACATCTGAGAAATAAAGAACATTGAAGAGTTCATAATGGAACCTGAAATGGATCTGATAACAGAAGAACACCAAGAACTCTTGAATGAAGAACACCAAGAAACTCGGTGAGATACGCTTTCTTCTGAAAAAAAGAATTAATACCAATATCTGTTATTAATTTAATTAATTAAAGATCCTTTGAAGAAGTGGGAGGATGCAAGACTGTGTATTTGTGTATTTTTATTATTACATATAAATAAACGTAGTAAAAAAGTATGTATTTTTTATTTTTGGGGGTCTCCAGAACGAATTATTTAAATTTCCATTAAAACCTATGGTAAATTGATAATCGGTTAATGAACAATTCAGATAGCGAACAAAGTCTTGGGACGGATTATATTCGTTAACCAATCACCCACTGTATATTTCTTTGAGTTTTTCAATTTTTTTAATGTATTAATTACTTTTATATTCAAATGTTTAATACCTGTTATAATTCCCATAATAAAATAACTAAGATGATTGCTTTTTTATAACAAATATTATTAAGCAATTTAAATGATCAAAATTACACTAAATAATTATAACAGCTAAAAAATGTTTTGTTTATACTTATAGAGATGTTCACTTCACTAGAATGGAATAAAGGTATATTAACTAATCTCCTCCTTTTAATGCTACTTACTGGACAATTTCTTTCTTAGTTGTTTGTATTATTTCAAGAGTTCTAGCTTGTTCCAGCAACAGATTTGTAATTATCTAATGCTTTCAGGTAACTTAGTGGCCATTTTCAGGATTGAACATTCTTGTAAGAAAATTCTTTTAAATTTTAACATTCTTAGAAGTGTTCTAAATATGAATTGATGATAAATAACTAAAATGAAATACAAAAAGAATTCTTAATATTATGTTTGTATGTAGTTACTTTTTCTTGTTGACACAAATTGTTTTTTTGTAATATTGACTGTCCTTGTTATTAGGCTTATTGCATAATGACAAGAACATAGTTGATCTTACCACAGCCCCAGAAGTGTAGCAAATGCTGTTTACTCTACGTCTAGTTTACTGTTTACCCTCAGCAAATACATACAGTACACATTTTTCCACCAGGCTAAGAGAGCATCAGTACAATATACTAGAGAAAAGCACCACAACACAGCTATATATTCTCAGGAATATACCCACACTTCAAGGATGCTACACACTTAAAAACCATCAGCAACCAACACACCAGAAAAACTATAAAAAATAACTATATACAAATATAGTATTAAGAATTCATAAGGATGCTGCTTGTTTATCTACAGCATAAAAATATGTTATAAACCAAGACAAAATAAAAACCAAAAACTAATTTTTATTATTTTTTATATGTTATGTTATTTATCTTAGATTCATATTTAGAACTTTTCTTTGAATGTTAAAATTTAAAAAATTGTCTTACATGAATGTTCAATTCTGAGGATGGTTACTATGTTAGCCAAAAATGTTAAATAAAAAAATTGTTGTTGGAACAGGCTAAAACTTGTTAAATTTACACTTCATTTCAGGGATGCTTATTTTAATATGCTTATTTACTTACGTGTATTGCTGATATCATCTATAAAAGAAATTTTGATGTGAAAATAGTTTCATACAAGGTGCAACCGAGAAACTAACTAAATTTTTAAAAAATGAAATAACATTTATTCTAATTTCTTAAATTATGAAAGTTTAAAAAATCTTTTTTACAAAAATGACTTTGGCAAGTAAACTGATCATAAAATGACTGCTTCCTCTGTTGCTCCGTCATGAATGAATGATTTATGGCAATGTAACATCAAATTTTAAGTTA